GTAGAAATAATCTTCTCGCTTTCCTCAACAGAAATATATCTAGAAAGTCATCTTCATATACGCCACATTATGCTCTATTACTTCGAGAAATGTTGGAAGGCGGTCCACTCATAACGTGATCTCAACGAACTTCTCGGGGATGGAACAGTCAGCCAAAGCCGAACAAGGAATGGAATCTGCTTCTGCGGTCGCCCTATTCACCAACCGAAACTCCTAAGGATTATCACGTTGATCGCCCGTTGAAAAATTGGTTAACGAACAGATCTTTCGACGAAGTGAATGGTTTGATGGCCAACGTCAAGTAGTGATCGCCTCCAAGAATCGCAACTTCTTCGCCTGTGGAACTCGACTGCCTAATAAATGGGAAGCAGTGCTTGGCGTAGATGGTGGATATGTTCCGGAGCAATTACTTAAACATGTCTTCGTTAGATATTTCTATCGTTTCTTCAAGTAAAATTTGCTGGAGAACTCCGCAATAATTATGCATCAACCTAATACTATAAATAAAGGCACAGTCCGCGATAAAAAAGACGCAGGAGATATCCTCTCAGGATAAAATTGTGGTCCCCTCATGCACCATGTGTAGCGCTATCAAGTCGGAAAACGGCCATATAGGACGTTATGAAGGCTCAAAAGTTGTATCGTTTGTATACCCCACCAAAGGCGGACGAGTTCCAACGACAATGTAGACTAGTCAGTTCTTTGCGCAAGTGCGACAACTGAAATCTTGTCCGAATACTCCTCCCATGTTATTTCCGTCATGGTAAGCTCATCCAACCACTACTTCCCTTATTCTATGGGTCCTTATTTGTCTCGAAATCGACGAATTTTCTCACTATCTCACTACCGATTAACTATTCCCAAATAACACTCCTGCTTTTCGACTAAAAAGGCTTTAAGTTGCAAAAAATAAACTGCCAGAGACCGCTATTCAAAATCTCACGATTACATCGTACTATCAAAACTACAAAACGAACCAAATCATCGACCGCCACTTAATCCGACGATTGTACACCACCTATGAAGCTTTTCATTTTCATCAAATCATGCAGAACTGTGAAAGTATTTAAAGAGACTTACCATACACCATATACATTCCATGTCATCGGTTTGTCCAGTAACGGCCACAGTAAGTAGAGCAAAGACTAAGAAGATGCTGTGCATTTCGGTCCAATCTAAGCTTCACGATGACCAGACATTGTTTCCCATTTAAAGGCGCATCGATGTTTGTTTAGAATTCCAGTGCCAGCGACGCGACCAGAACATCTTTTGAGATAGGGGATGGTGCCCCGTAAACAATGAACTCCCATGGAGAGAAGGAAATTTCAAACTGAATATGACGTCACATTCATGTCGTCGAGCTTATAAAATGACTTCGAATACCAATATACTAACTGAAGAACAGGAATGTCTAGACACTACTATTTCCCACTGTACCCTACCTCTGTCCAAAATGCAAGGGTCTCCGGGAAATGAGGGGCGACTCCACTCAAACCCTGAGGTGCCAAGGCTTTCTGGACAATGAAGGTAACGGTATGACCTAAGTATACCGCTCTATCCAGAAGCACGAAAGTTCAATCCATCCTTTCTTGTGATCGGTCCCGCTCATTCATTGTATGTGTTGACGTCATGCTCACAGGATCTTTTTATTGTTTTCAATGGCGGCCATAGGTGTTTGTTGCCTCGTGCTCATCTCCATTACGGCGATAAGGTGTTGGTAAATGTTTGCAGTACTCTGTGGGTCCCAACCCGAGAAAATCTGCTGATTTTGTCAAGTCTACTTACTTTTTTGACTATAAAAGGCTGCTTCCCGCCAATTTCGGAACCGTGGCACTATGAGGACTTCCAATCTCGTCTTTATCACCACAGTAATTCTGACAGTCGCCACTTGCCAGCAAAATGGAATGATGTGTGGTTTCTGTATTGTGAGTTTGCCTATATTCATTGTAATATTATGCGA